ATACCTCTCCAGCAACCAACCGAAAAAAAAAGGCCATGTTTTCATTTTTGTTTTTTTTCTATAGAGAACCTATTCTTGTTTTTGCTGAGGTTGTCATCTGTGGTCAGCACATCTGCCTCACAATCCTTAAATCTAGGTTCGAATCTCAGTTCAGGCCCTCCAGTGAGGAGTTTTCATGTTAGCCCAGTGCTTATTTTTTCTGTGGGTTTTCACCAGTTCTGCAGGTATCGAACAAACAAAAAACAAAGACGAACTCTAACACCAGAAAAGGAATACATAATAACAGAAAGTACTCCTAAGTACAAAGGAATGTTCGATAACATCTTTTTTCTGACCGATACCAGTGCAAATATTGACTGTTTGTTTCAATACTCACCGATACCGATTTAACACAGAAAAACTGTAAACAACGAGCTTTCTTTGTGACGCCGATGATGATTCGCTGATGTGCCAAACGGCCATAATATAGCGCCTACTACTGCCGAGGAAGACTTTGTGGGGCCTTAAGTAGCCGTGTCTGGTATCGGTATCACCATGAGTTCGAGATAGCTTAAAATTAACCAGTACCTGTATCGGTACTCACCTAACCTAGTAAGTACGACTGGCCGAAAATTAATAAACAGCGAAAGAATGAGCCGAGGAAAAGTAGCACCGCTGGGGACCTTTGAGACAAAAAAAAAAACAGAAAGGCAGGAATGTGACATAATGGACATTTCAATTTCTGTATCCAGAAAACATAATGAAAAATTCTGCCATTATGGAGTTAACTATGCTTAGTTTTGATTGACATTGTGACATACTGTATATATTCATTGAACAATATAATTTCAGATGTTTGGTCGGGCTTCCGTCAACATCTGGAATGAGAAGGGACACAGACATTTCTAAGACGATTACTTGGGTCTGTTCATATGTCATGAATATCCCATGACACAAAACTATCGCACAATGACTTGAATTATGCAGAGCTTCACCTTCTGTATGATGCGGCCGCATGTCGTACAGCATAGCACCCCAAATCTCTTCTGCTGTCGAGTCAGGATGCGTAATACATCATCATGTATTAATTATGAATTTCTGGTAGAATACATTTTTTTTTAAGCGCATCAAGAAGGACAACGGGAGCCTCCCTTTGGTGTATAAAGTTGCATTATTTTGTTCCAAGTATGATGAATCATTTGTTTTTCTTTCATAACATTCCCTGCTAAGTTCAAAATCTGGTTAGGTTTTACTTTATCGTGATTTGTCATCTTCTTTTCGTGTCTATGTTGCCATATTCTTTGAAGGTGGTGCACTTTTGTTGTCTGTTAAGTCCTCTTTTGCTCGGGTGCAGGTTAAAGAGGAGGGCGGGGGCCGTGATGGCACTGTCTCGACTGAGTTGTTAAATATTTATCCTTAGTCATGGTAAACTGATTTATTTATATTTTTAGTTGTTTTGCAGGAACATCTCAGCTCCATGATGCAACCTATTTTAGTTTCCTTGCTTTTTTTTATTTTTTTTTTTATTAACTTACTTGGTAAAATACAAAACATTTTTATCTATTGGATTTGGACCAGCCAGTAAACAGTTGTGCTAAATCCCCCTTGGGGAAAGACCCGTGTAACATGAGAAAATGCTCCATTTATTTTGCTGATGGGAAGGATGAAGCTGGATTTAAAAGCCAAGAAAAAAAAAAAAACACACTGGGCGCCCCCCCAAAAATCTTGAAGAGGCAAAATAATTGGAAGACCTTGCCATGGTCTCAGGGGGAATCATATGAATATATCAACGTCCTCCAGTGCTGAGAGCAGACCCAAGGTGCTTGGTTGTGGCACTTTTCAGCATTTCCGAAGCAAAATCCTCCTTCAACTCTGTTGCCCGTTCCATCAGGGGAAGTCCGCCTGTTGGACTTAAGTGTGTCAATGAACGGTTGAGAGGATCAGCGATAAGTGAAGCTTACCTCCTCGGCTACTCTGCAACAGCCAAATTGAGATTAAACCTTTCCAAGCTAGCAGCACATGTCACTCAGACACGTACTAGAATTTCTGGGGTTCCCACTCCGACTTCTAAATATACTCGCTGGACATGCACAAAAAAAACACATAAGAGAAACAATTCAATTAGAAATCACAGCTGTCAATGACGGACATTTCAGTTCAAAAACAAAAGACTGCAAATGGGAATGCAATGAGTAAGAATTCTCAAATGAGCATTGAGGACTGGATTCAAAATCATCCTTTCAAAAAAAAAAACAAAGTGGAAAAATTACAATATAGGCTAATTCAACTTCTGCATGTATGACTTACACTTACTGTACCTGTATGCCCCCCCACCAATGTCTGGGCATGCTCTTGATGAGATGATGGTCCTCTTGGTTACTCTCCCCCCCCCAAAATTGGATCAGGGGATCTGGCAGCTCCTGAGCAGGCTTTTCCATTCCTGGTTCCAGAACGGATCTTGCTTGGCTTGGCATGGCTTCTGTTACTTTTCCTTTACAACAGTCGGCAATCAATTGAGGTAAGGCGGGATCAACAGAACCTTTTTAAGCCTCCACTGTACACATCACTCGAGGATTTCACGAGTGGAAAGTCCCGGGCTACTTGTTTCAAAATAAGAATCGCCATCGCATGCAAATTACAGCCCATTCAATGCACAGAAACTTTTCCACAGATGTAAAATCAATTTCCAGGTTCAAACCAGCATGAAACAGACACCTCCCGCCAAGACGTAAAAATACCGAATATACAGTGCACGTAAGGTATATTGGCTTTTACATGTCAAGTCAAGTCAAATTTATTTATATAAATCTTAATCACAGAAAAAGTCTCAAAGAGCTTCACATGCCCACAGTTGACAAATATTAATGACATCAATTGATCTCAACCCGCAGTAGTGCAAGGAAAAAAAAAAAACATCTTGGGGAAAAATAAGAACCCTAGAGAAGGGGCCGCAGATGGGGGATTCCCCCCCCTCCAAGGACAACCAGGCTGCAATGGATGCCGAGTAGGCAACATTTAATGCTTCATATGATGCTATACAATGTTGGTTGAAATAGTTTGAAAGTACATCCAATCAGATGAAGCCCTCCAGGAAGACGCACTCAAAGAAGTGGGTCCCGGCCTTGTTGGTCAATGCAGAAACCTCCACAGCAGCACCTCCGGGAGGTGTTATATTGCAGAAGTCTTATTTTAGTCATACTGTCAGGATTCATTTCCTATGAAGGCAAACATTTGGCCTCATCCTTTATACAAACTGTGCACTTTGTTTAAAGGGCACAAAGCAATTACTGCAAAAATTTTTTTAAAAAATCCCCCTTAACCTACGTTACATGGTTCATATTTCCTTCTCTAATCGTAGTTGCCTCGGCAAGGACTGTACCCTGCACCTTCAGATTTATTGTCAGAAGTAAACACATTGGTGGTGTATAAATAAGGTCTTTTGTTGGTTTGCAAACAGCCTTAATTTACTGTATGCTCGGTGCACTCATTTGGCGGATCTGTTTGATGTCAAAGTCAGAACACAGACGTCAGCATGATTGTTATTTGTGTCTCTGGGGGGGGTTCTTGGTTGACTCCCTTGCCAGGACATTTCCTCTTCTCCAACACTTTCATTTACCGGCCAACGTTTTCTTCACTAAACGAATCCAGTGGATTTTTGTCACTGTGGTCATGAATGCCTTACTTAGCCGTCCATCAAGGTTTACACTCACAGGCCAGTATATTAGGTACAACGTAATTTCTAGTGCTGTAAAATGATAGCAAATCATACACACACAGAAACATCCCAATTACAACCATTTTTTTATACCGTTTGTGAGTGTGAGCCACAGCCGATCCTAGCTGACTTTGGGCGAGGGGTTGGCTACACCCTAGACTCGTCATTAGCCAACCACAGGCAGATGTGCTAACCACCAGATCATCATGTTGTCTTGATCGATTACATACGCAACAAAATATTGGAAACAGATTTCAGTGGGATGCGGATGCCACCACTACCAACAATGAGCCTTTTGTTTCCCCACTGTTTTTTTTTGTTTTGTTTTGTTTTTTGCCGATGGGTGTGTATTATTGCACATTATTAAGGGAGTTTGCAGCAAGGGGTTTTGCCACTCCAATGTCTTCAAAGTATTTCAAAGTGGATTGGATTCAACATAATGGTGCGGGGAAAGTTTGGATCTATGTTTTGAACGTAAATACACAAAAACACACTTTGAAACAATAACTGGATGGAGTTTACTTAGCTTTGCATACGCGTTTCAGGTCAATGCAAACTGATGCTGAACTTGGCGATTGGTTGTTGAGTGATGTATCTACCTATGCATATACGCCATGAAGTCCAGCAAATCAACTTTTGAAATTCAATCAGTCGATCCGTTCCCTATTTCATCATCCTGCCATTGTGATTAAACCCAAATGAAGTTGCTTGAGGGACTGGATAATGATTCCTTCTTCATAAAATGAAATGCGCCTATAAGAAGTGACATCTTGGCTATTTATTATCTCCAGTGGCGTCCTTGCCTCTGTCAGGGAACACGGCGACAAAGTGCTACAGCAAGCTGGCGAACCCACAGATCAAGAAACGCACTGCAAGCAAGCACAGCAACATCAGTTTTATTTTACTGTTATTTGCTGACATCAAAGTTTGAGGGACCGTGGGTTTACCTGATTGCTTTTCCTGCAATTTACTGCCATGCTTTTTTTTGCCCATTTCTCTGTGGAACTCTAAGACGTGTTTGTTCCTTATCATAATATAACATAACCTGACTTTTCCCAAATGACAGGGCTCATTTGTACAATAACAGCAACAAGCCCAATTAAAACATAATTAATCACAACCATTGTGAGCAGTGGATAATAATCGTATCCGGATGTTCATGAGAGACATTCAGTCACTTGCATGGACAGAATGTCAGCTTACCGTACTTATTTTCTGCACTCATTTCAATCTCGTTCTCATCCCATCTAGTCACCGTCAGCGCCTTGAATTTGTCAAGTTCATGTTAGGTTGTGTTTTCTGGCAGGTTTACACCAGATATGGGAAATGCTACACCTTTAATGGGAACAAGACCACATCCAGGAAAACCAAGCAGGGGGGAATGGGAAATGGGCTGGAGATCATGCTGGATATCCAGCAGGATGAATATCTGCCAATATGGAGAGAGACAAGTAAGCCAGCAAACATTTTGAGTCCAATGTAATCTATTACACTACTGCTTGATGTTGAATTAACATAATTGATGAATAATAATGGACATCATTTTGGGGCGGGGAATGTACTGCAACTCTTCTGGCCAGAATTTGTAAACTGATGAGAAAACTTAGCCATACCAACTCTGAACCCATTGACTGAAAATTGTTAGTATTCGAGTCAACACTTGGAGGTTATACATAATTCATTTCACGTGGCTGTTTTCACTTCGATTTGTAGCAAGTTTGAATTCATCCCACACGAAATAATCGAAATACAGTTACCGTAGATTGGACACGCCAAGGTCAATGCCCAATACGTTGGAATTAGAAGTGCGGTATTATAATCAGGTCCAGTGCTAAATTGTACCATCATCAAAAATTAGTTCACCTCTGTTTCTTTTAAAACCTAAAACAATGAAACACTCAATTGAAATGTGCCCCCCCCCAAAAAAAAAAAGCCAAAGAAAAATAAAAAAAGTACATACTTTACCGTCGGACGCTAAAACATTTTGTCTCTGGTGAGGTAAACTGTGTTCTCGTGCACTTGGATGATTTTATTTTTGCAAGCAAAAATTTGAACACATGGGTTTTTAGATGGTGTCATAAAACTCAACTTCATTCCCAACAAGCAACAGTTTGGAAGACAGCCTTCAAATAAGAGGCTTCAAGTTGAAGTTTCCTGTCAAACTAAATATATTGTATTGAGAATGACGCGTTGTGTAGCACATGACAACCACATGACGTTGCCTTATACAAAACGGATGCACAACGCCACGGACGGGCAAATGGAAAGCATCAGTGTTGCTGTGCTATCACCCTTTAAGCAACTGATATTTGAACACATGATAACAGTGAAGCAACACAATAGATAAAACAATACAATACACACAGGCATATATTCTTTATCCTCTGCAAAAAACAACAACAACAACAACAACAACAACAACGAATACTACTGCAGCTTACTGAGTCACTTACTGCAGTTTTGAAATTCTACATTCGTATCTGTATGTCTGCATTACACTGCCCTTTGTGACCAATGCATGCACATCCTGTAAGTGGACGCAAACACAAAAACACATGAAAAACACAATGGAACAAATTAAATTTGTCAAATGAGGTTCCACTGTACTGGCACCAAATCACTTTGCTGCCGAAAAAACTGGCATATATGTCAAAATGGTTGAAGGTATAGTTTCCATGTGCTTTTCACAACAAACTTACGTTTCATTAATAGCATTTCAATCTGGAGTGTGATATGTTGACATCACATTTCCATTTTCCTCTGAATTTTCCATGCCCTGCGTGTGCTCCGTTTTGAAGATGAGACATCTCTGGAGGCCGGAATCCGAGTTCAAATCCATAGTCAAGATGAGCCTCCTTACATTCACCAGCTGGGCTTCGGTGTCTCGCCAGGCTTCCAGACCTTTGTTTCATGTCAGGAGCAAAGGGTAGGTCTTGATCGTCGTCATCGTCAAGTCCACCCACGAGCACCATCACTACCATACTGGTTTAGTCCTGAACAGTTCACCTCTGCTGGCTGCCTGGCTAATAAATCTCTATGCTCAGTTGACATATCTGCCCCAGCCTTGGGGGAACTGCCGCTCCAGCAGCAAGGAGAAGTTCCCCGGATACGACACTTACAGCATCAGCGCCTGTCGCCTACTCTGCGAGACCAATGAAGTTGTGCGAGTGTGCAACTGTCGGATGGTGCACATGCCAGGTATGATCTGATTTTGTCGAGGTTTTACGTTTCTCGCCTATACAGAGTGTAAAATATACTTTGCTGTCATTTTGGCAGAAACAATAAATAGTAGCTCTGTGTTTGGCATTTAAAAAAAAAGTACTTTCAGTTGTTTGTTTGAATGGTACAAAATGTCAAACACTCAAATATAAAAAGAGAGCGCTAACAAGAAGCTGCGGTAGGCCACAACTCACGCCCAGATGCTCACACTGAAGTACAGTATATGGCCAACTCAATTCCAACTCCTGATGTCACTCACTTCATCTCACCCCTGAAAGGCATACATGCTACATGCAAATACTACAGCACACGAAGTACTGGAAGTAGTTTCAGCTTAGTATAGTTTTTTGTGAAAAATGATTGAATTTCATCCTATATAATCCTACTTTTTACACCTACAGAAAGTGACAGTTAATGATACATTTCAAAATGTACTTCTTTGGGCTTGATTATTTACATGCATTATGGGATGATAAGTTTGGTTGCTTACTGTAGACATATATAGGCATGGCACACTGTTCCGGGAGGCACAGTGGACGACTGGTTAGCACCTCACAGTGCAGAGGTGCAGGGTTCGCTTCCGGCTCTGGCCTTTCTGTGTGGCGTTTGGATGTTCTCCCCGTGCTTGCGTGGGGTTTCTCTGGGTACCCCGGTTTTCTCCCACCTTCCAAAAACAGGCATGGGAAGTTAATGGAACACTCTAAATTGTCCCTCGGTGTGATTGTGACCACGGATGGTTGTTCATCTCTGTGTGCCCTGCGATTGGCTGGCAACCAGTTCAGGGTGTACCCCGCCTACTGCCCTAAAACAGCTGGGATAGGCTCCAGCATGCCCGCGACCCTCGTGAGGACAAACGGATTAGAAATGGATGGATGGATAGATGGTACACTGTTCCGCTACTTGGATAATATTTTTGTGTTATGAATTACTCTTGCACACTCTCAATATATTATTTGTTTATATGTCTTTGTATTATTTTAAAAGTGTGTTTCAAGACCATAAAAAATGATGTCTTGTAAATGCTATAAAAACATGCATAGGGAGGATTTAAATAGGGTATGTCTATTTCTATACTTATTGCGGGGTAAAATGAATCCAAGCTTGGTCACCAATTGGATTAGAATCCTAGATGAATATTTGAAAATCAATTTCCATACAGTGTCAAATGACAACGTCTTTGTGCAATTTTAATATTCTATGTAATTATTTCATTTTGCAACACTGGACATTTCCGACTTCCCATTTTTCTAGATGTCAACATGTGTCAGCTGTGTGATTGACAGGGGACCAGTCCACGGTGTACCCCACCTCTCACCCTAACTCAGTTGGAATAGACTGCAGCCCGAATGTGACCCTGAACCGAATAAGCAGCTATAGATCACGGAAGGATGGATCAGATTGAGTGAGTGGCAGCCAGGCTGAATGAAGAATCCAATTAGGAGTCACCGCTTATCATTGGAATATTTGCAGGCAACTGTTTTAATAATCAGCTGATCCGCAGCAGCCTTGCATTTACATGATATCATGAGGCATATGCAAAATAACCCATCTGCATTTTGGCCCACTTGAACCCATGGGGGACAGATGTAATTTGGTGTGGCTGACCTTGAGCTGTTGTACCAGGAATGCGATGCTCTTCAGCTCTTCAGCTTTAATGGCAGCTCTCAGTCAGGTGTCATTCGTGATTAACATCTCAGTGAATTTCCAAACCTTTAGCTCGGCCAGGCCATCGTCCATTTATATCATTTATTATTCCGGCTTCTAATAGCAAAGCGTGAAGCTTGTGGTCGCGTTCTCGGTTGTGTATGGTTGCATGTTTTTAGCTCAGCTTGACTCATAAATACAGTATACAATTCACATGGCAGACCAAAGCAAAGAATCAAACCAGTACTGCTATGACAAGTGGATCTGTTGTTTTATCAAAGGTCTTTGCTCCACTCCACAGTTAGTGTAATTATTAACCGCTTAAGTTGGTGGATGTACTGGAAATACTGTGGAACCTCCAAAGGCAAACACATTTATTCCAAGAAGCGGTTTAAACACTTTTGACACACGCTTTCAACCAGACTTACACTGCATGGTTCATTTCTGATTTCTCTTGTTCTCTCAAGTGTCAAGTGTCGAATTGTGATATGCGTCATAGGAAAAAAAAATGCAAACAGTGCTTATTCCCAATTCAAATGAAAAGAAATGCCATTTCTGTTCCAACATCATGTAGTAGTAATGTAACATAAGTAATGACATATTTAAATGAAATGTCAAGAAAATGTTTTAAAATTTTTTTGCTTCACTTCAGTGGACATCATGTTGCTCCTTTTGGTGTATGTCGGACATCCGGAAGGTTACGGATGGAATCAGACCCTTCAAACATAGACTCAGGAAAGTTGAACTCACAAAAATATTGATTTACAAAATAGAGGCGCAAGACCAACAAAGTACAAATAATGGCGCTGGACCACAAACCAGGAATTAAGCGAAGAAAACAAATAGTGCTTGCACATGGCAAGGAAAAAACACAAATGAAAATAGCTTGGAACAAAAGTACAAGAAAGACCAAACCAGATGGAGAACAAACAACGGATACACTTAAATACACCAAGAACGACTTACTTGAATAACGAAGAACATACGCAAAGGCAAGAGCCAAAAAAACTGAGAAAACATAAATCACGGCAAGAGCCAAAAAATAGTCCCAATAATTGTGATGCCAGACACATGTTTCATGTGTTCCGTGAGTGTAAACACAATCGAGGTTAAGTGTCATTTGGAATGTACATGGAAAGAAACAAAAAAAGAGAAAATGTAGAATGTTTTTGTGCGACTTTTGATTCATATTTTTCCCAATTATTTTGTTGAACTCTATACAGTGCCATTTTAATGCATTTTGGATTTGGATGTTGCACAGTAATAGTATATTTATGATGGAATATTGGTGCAAATGAAGTAAAAGACCTAATATCCGACAGGCACAGACAGCCCAGTCAGATTAGAAAATGGTGTTTGCTGTGTCAAACAGACATTTATCTCTATTGATTACCAATTTTTCATTTTCCCTAATCATCTGGAGGATATGACTGAGACGCCAGTCTTTCAAACACCAAATGAGCTGCCGAGACTCGCACAGCATGTGTGTCATCAATACTGCTGCAGTCATGCCACTGAATGTAAAATGTGTGTTTATTTTGAAAGAGCTGGTGGCTGCATTTAAGCTCAGGAAAAAAAAAATGCAAGCTGTTACACCACACAACCAACTCAGGGTACAGTCAACATATTAGGCCACAAAGTGCACGTATCACTTCCATAGGAAACAACGTTGGATTGTCTGCAAATCACTCATGTTTTGGATTGTTAAGTCTGGAAAAAAAATATACAGTATAGAAATGAGAAATTGAGAATGGACAAAGAATAATAGTGCTGCTTTCAAATATTCCTCAGGGCCACAACTATTACATTATGGTATGACAGCTGTACTATTATAAGTGCTGGTCCACTGTTTTTAACAGTGGGAAATCAATTTGTGACCGAAATTATAAATGGCCATTGCCTCGCGCGTCAGTCCAGGGAAGAAATTGCAAGCTCAAGTTTACTTTGAGAAATAACTCATTTTAACAAGAAATGCGGCCCCACTGCAAATGAACAAGACAGCAAAAAAAAAAAAAAAAAAACGGGTCCGTATTGGGAGACACATTTGAATTAACAGATTGTGAGCAACAATCACTTGGGAGTCGTGAGAAAGTGGCAGCACCGCTTTGGCTTCCCACGGTGATATATTGCATCAGGAATTCTATTTATTGTAGATATCAGATTTAATACATGTGGGAGCTTTGGCCTGCTGGCTTTGGTAAAGCAGGCCTGTGCTGGGCACCACACATCGGGGTGCAACAATTTATTGTTGATTAAGAAGACTCAAATTCCTTTATAGGACTCCTGAGAGCAATTGGCTCAAAAGCTTGTCAAAGGGGCAGGAGGCCAACTTGTGAATAGAAAGTCTTTTTCAGTCTTGACCACACACACACACACACACACACACACACACACACACACACACACACACACACACACACAGCTGTTCAAATGTTACAGCGCTGACTTATAGAGTTTTTACACAGTAAACAGGATGTGGAAGATAATCCTGTCTTGCACATGCAGTGGTTATAGCCCCAGCTATAGTTTTGTTTGTATATGTTCAAAAACTCCTCAGGCACCATCTGTTCACCAAAGTCTACATTTAGGAACTGGACGCACATTTAATTGCCCCTCATAGTTCGTTCGTGGGTCTTTTTAAAGGCACCATGTAATCAAAGTTGTTATTTTTATAATTGTAGTTGGCAAGTGTTGAGAGCTTCGCAAACATGTCCGTTAAATATGATGTTGTTTACAATTAGCGGATATTGTCATGATCAGTGTTATGTTGACTTTTTTTTGGAGTTTTGTTTCATGTTTTTTTTTTGGTGTGTGTGTGTGTGTGTGTGTGTCTGGAGTTTTGTTTCATGTTTTTTTTAGTGTGTGTGTGTGTGCGTGTGTGTGTGTGTGTGTGTGTGTGTGTGTGTGTGTGTGTGTGTGTGTGTGTGTCCCCTTTCCATGTCTCGTCTGTCTCATTAGGTTTTTGTTTCCACCTGTCCTCGTCAGCCCTGTTCCTTGCGCCAACCGATCAGCTCCCTCAGCCACTCGTGTCGTGTCCGGGTGTACCTCATTATCTCGTCAGTTTGCTTGTATTTAGCTCCTCTGGTGTCTGTCTGTTGATTTGTTGTTTCTGTAAGTTGGTGTCGGTGCTCACACACTGCAGCCTTTGTCATTACACACGATCCCACTCATGCTGTTTTGGTTTCCTTGTTGCTGTTGTTGACATGTAGAATTTAGATTTGATTCAACATTAAATATTTTTTGATTCTATATTCCTTGTTCACTTTTTGTTGTTGTGTTTTTGAAAATAAATTCTTTTTGAGACAACTGCACTCTGCCTTCCTACACTTGGGTCTTCAAGCATTTGCCAGCAAAACCCTCAACCGTGACAGATATGTTAGCTAGTGCGATAAACAAAATTGTCCGGAGGTGTGAATGTGGGTATGAATAGTCTATATGTTGACCTAATAAAATCAACACAAGCTCATGGCAAACACCAGCCTCACAAGAAAGCCAGAGACCGATTCAAACCCCTCAACCTTGGCACCGTAAGATGTGCTAGCCACTCGTTCACTGTGTTGTCCCTTTGTCATCTATTTGGTGGCGAGTTTTCCATTCCCTCGTCAACATATGCAAAGGGCTGCTGCTTGTGGTGGTTGCTGAATACTGGAATGTCTGACTTAGAAGACTTTAAAGCACTTTAAAGCAGTAGCTTCTGTTTGTTTTCACTTGGATGGTGATCAGTCCCGGATAGGCTCTAGCTCACCCGTGACATTCATGAGAACAATTGAGCACTACCGAAAATGGATGAATGGCATGTTGGGGCGCTAAACTAGCAATGCTGTACACTTATCAACACTGTCTCCTCTCTTCTTGCGCAGTTGATTACAGTAAGTCTACATGGGTCTGATAAAACTCTAGAGTGGCTAGCTAACGAACTGAACGCGTCATGAGGATAAGCAGTCGATAAAATCTTATTTTAAAAACCCATTTTGTGACTTTATGTGACTCTTTGGAAAGCATCTCCCACATTTAAATCTTATACCACCATTAAGGCATAGAAGCAAAAATGTGTTTTCCACAACTTGGTTGCCTCAAAGTAAATATTTTAGTGTCTGGTCTCTTTCTATATTTGGGCGACTGCCCAAAAAAGCTATTAGGGTGTTCTTGTCCTGTGATATGTGGACAGCTCATGGAAAAAGGACACAGCTTTTGTCTCTACAGACAAAAATAAAGTCGGGCTGCCCTTTTTATTATTCAAGACTGTAATTTATACGCAGCGATAATTGCACAACATTGTACAAACGAGATTGAACAAGACGTAACTGTGAGCGTGGAAAAAGTCACACAGACAAGCCAATGTCATTTCACTGTACATTAATCACCGCACCTCATAAAGAAGCAAAACAGCAGAACTCTGCTAATGATAGTGCCGCTAATGAATTCCCGCGTTTGATGGACTGGCCAATGTGTTTTTCTGAGGATGTTTACTCTACACATGCAGGCTGCATGCTTCATTTCTCAGAGACGGCCATGCCCGTGGATGCAAGTCATCCTCCGTGTGGCTGCATTCGTTTGGAGATGGATGATAAGCGACGGCGTGTTGTTCACAGCCGTTCTTCCTCATTGCGGTAGATACGGGTCACTGATCATTTTGTTTGTGATTGATCAGGCTCATTATGTGCTCTCCTCTCCAGGAACCGCTGATATCTGTCCTCCTAATAAAATCAACTGTGTTGACAAAGCACTTGGTAAGAAACAATCTGCCTTCATTTCTTTTCGCATTACACGAGAGAATACGATGCAAAATGTATACAGTACAGTGTTTTGAATATTTTATAAATCTATCGAGATAGACAGATCTATCTATCTAAATAGATATACAAGCAATACCATAGCCGGAAGTAATCTGAATATCTTGAAATGACTTCCCCATTGTGATTTTGTCACTTTCGAGTGGAATGACCGGCATTGTTGAACTGTTAATATTAAACGTATTCGTCATTTCTGCGGCGTCTCCTCCGTCTTCAATCTGATCTCGCTCTCCCTTCCGCAGATATTGGGACGGAACAAAAGCGCAGCGCTTTCAATGGCTTTAATGTTGCAGTCTAAAATAATTTATGCTAATGCACAGACATGGGTAGATATATGTGCGGTATAATTACACCTTTTCTGCCGTTTCATTCACAAATTTAATTACACCTCTCATTACTAAATTTAAAACTTATTGAATACATTAGGAGGAGGTTATATCCATATATAATTGTGAATACAATGATATGAATTATGACTTCTTGGTGGAAGGTAATAGCTAAAAATATTTTCTTAGAGGAAGAGTTCCCTCATGAGAAATATACGCCATTGTTCTCCTTCATAAAGAAAAAAAAACGGTAAATCATTCATTCTCATCTATCACACGAGACCGCCTTTTACCAGCAAGTCACCACCCACTTTAGTAGTTGTTAAAACATTAACGCAAATGGATTCCTCAAGCATGTGTACCGTTCATGCTAATTGAATTACACATGATTACAGGTTTAAAGTGCCTCGAAGAACACTTTTGTAAAGAAATTGATGATGGACTTCAACAAAAATGGATATCTTGCCACTGATCTCTTTCGAAAAGTGCAACATCAATAAGTGTCTTCGAACGAAGGATGAAAACCAAAGAAACCGCAACAAATTTAACAGTCTGTATGATTAGATTATTAAAACAGCAATGGGCTTTTTTACATGAGACATTGTGTTTACACCCCATGTAATAACGTTTCTGGTGATTGCCATAATGTCATTGACATATTTGACTGCTCCTACGGTGGCGACATCACCCGTATTGAGCGCAAGTCGCTAACGCGGTTTCCAAGTCATAAAAAAAGCCCTGGTTGTGCTTACCTGTACTCTGTGAAAAAGGATTCTTACGATATCTGTAACCTCGAAATGTTCCCCCTGTATTTTATGACTACTTGTTGGTGACCCACCCAAATGGCTCTACAAAGGGACCTCACCCACCAGTTCAGAATCACGGATGTAAATAATCTTCATTTTGTTTTGTAACTGTAATGTGAATAAGAAGCAAGGCACAACACTGAAAGCAAAATCAATTAACTAGCGTTGCTTAAACATGAATTAGCAAACTATAGAAGACTTCCATTTTCAGCCAGATGGACAATCCTGTTCATTTCTACAAATGTGGTAGAAGTGAATAGTCCGATATTACTAGTTTACCCCTCGCAATCTCTGCAAAATTTCCAAAAATCCAATTTAAACACCACAATTTGGGATATTCCTCCTAATTCTGTCTCGTGTTTTAGTCAGCCATGCAGGTATAAGATGAGAAGTTATTTTGGGTTGCATTGCAGCGCAGCTCCAGAAGACCAGCGGGGACACCTGTCCATGCGAGACGCCTTGTAATCTCACCCGTTACGGCAAAGAGCTCTCCATGGTCAAAATCCCTAGCAAGGGTTCGGCTCGCTATCTCTCCAGGAAATACGACAAGTCAGAAGACTACATCAGGTAGGAGCGCTCCAGAGCGACAACCTAACTCACCAGAGAGTGAGAGGGAGTAAGAGCGATGATGCGCTTCTCGTAAAAAAACTGATCATTAACTCTGACCTCGAGCCTACGATCACCTGCACACAACATAAAACGCAACAAGAAATGTTTATTATCGCATCACCTTACTTTTTTATGCTTTATTGTGAGCAATATATCGTTTGATATTGTCAGGTCACAATATGTGTAGAGAACAGTATGAGGGGTTAATTTTTGTCAATGAATCGGAATTTATTTATTTTTTAAAAAACATTTTCATCCCTTTGTTCAATCACTGGACATGAACTAATGATAACTCAGTTACTAGTTTGGTCCATTACATATCGGAAAATGCGTAAAAATGTTGAGTATGGTTTTCCAATGTAAAAGCAGAAAAAAAACACAAAGAATCTGCTTCCAGGGAGGACTACAGAAATCAGAAAATATTTAGATTGATTTAATAACTGATTAGTTATCTGTTAAACGTTGCAGCTCTATGCAGTATATAACAAAGGGTTCACTAAAACGACATTTTATTCACTAATGTGAAAAGTCTAGTGTCGATAGAATATTGTCATATTTCTGATCTGATCTGAGTCTTGTGATTTTTTTTTTTTTTTTTTTTGCTTTTGCTATATTATAATATTCTGCCACTTTTCTTAGAGACAATTTCCTGGTTTTGGACATCTTCTTTGAGGCTCTCAACTTTGAAACAATAGAGCAAAAGAAAGCCTATGACGTTGCAGGTTTATTAGGTATGACTTCTGCCGCCATAATTCTATGTATTGCAGTGGTGTCTTGAGATACGAGTGTAATTCATTTCATGTCTACGCTTGTAACTCAAGTAGAAGCCTTTTGTTTTGAACTATTGTCCTCCACCTGTCAAACTGCTGCCTGTTATAAAAGGCTAGTTTGAAGTCCCCCCCCCCCCCCAAAAAAAAAAAAAAAAAAAAACACCTTTGTCATACTTGTTAAAATGCTTCATGGCCGGATTACTTACTTCCGGTAAGCAGCTAAAGTTAAAGAGAATGAATTGGACTCTCTCCAAATAAAACAAGAGTAACAACACAACACTCAAACATGAATGAGTCACGCTGACAAAGTAGAAATTGTGGCGAAGAATTGCTTGTTTACCGCGTGCGTATTCTTACAGTGCCTGTCTCGTGCACGCTCACGTTAGGGAAGGGCGTGGCTTGGGTCGGAAACTAAAGGGGGGCAGGAGGTGATGAATTGTAGCCACTTTCGCTGGCAATTTGAAAAGTGCAAACGCCCTCTTTCGTATCTCAAGGTACCACTGTGTTGATTAATGAAATGATAATTTGTCAAAATGCTGGAGAAAAAAAAACAGCCGATGACTTCAGCTTTTGTCTGAATACGCTGTTTTTAGGTGACATTGGCGGACAGATGGGCCTTTTCATCGGAGCCAGCATCCTGACTATTTTAGAAATCCTAGATTATATCTATGAGGTATGGTGTCCGTATCTATGTTTGCATGTAAGCGTCATGTTGGTTGAATGTACATGTCTGCATGTACAGTGGCCACACTCTTGTGTGAAAATGGTTAACCTCTTCATGCCCTTTGATTGACTGGCAACCAGTTCAGGGTGTTGTCCCAAAATTGGCTGACCCTAGAATGGAAAAGTGACGGTTGGTAAAAAAGTGCCATGAATGGGTACTGTAGATATCCATCAAGATAATGGTTTCACTTTTAGAATAATTACCGTATTTTCCGGACTATCAGTCACTCCTGAGTATAAGTCGCACCAGCCATAAAATGCATAATAAAGAACAAAAAAACATACATAAGTCGCACTGGAGTATAAGTCGCATTTTAGGGGGAAATTTATGTGATAAAATCCAACACCAAGAACAGACATGTCATCTTTGAAGGCAAATAAAAATAAAACAACAGGCTGAATAAGAGTACGATATGCTAACGTTACATGATGCATAAACAATGAACTCAGAATGTGCCCGTATGTTCACGTAACATATAAAGAGTTATTCAGATAACTGTAGCATAATGATCATGCTAACAAGTTCACCAAACCATCAGTGTCACTCCAAATCACTAAATCCAATGAAATCTTCATCCTCGTTGTCACTTCTAAGCAACTCTGCCAACTTCGGTGGTAGAAGAGACAGTGCTTCCTCTTCTACTTCGCTGACGTCAGAGTCATCGTAGGCTTTTTTTTTTTTTGTCAATGTGGAAAGCATCAACACAGACCTAGAGACCCCTCTTGCGGTTTAATGTGAAAATAACATGTCAAATGATAGAATCTGCGATTTATAATCCGGAAAATACGGTAGTCCTAATCATAACCTCTTACAACTAACTGATCAATTTAATCCGAAAAACAATGCATTCAGCCATTAATTTGTTTTCTATAGCGCTTGAAAACCTGCAGTGAGTGGCACAGGGAGGACATGAAATCTCCATACAGGAACCCGGATTCTAAGAACTGTTAGGCAGATGTGCTAAGCAGTAGTCATCATGCTGTCTCCACTCCTTTAATTTGAGTTAAAATAGAATTTTTAAAAAAAATGTGTGAACTTTTACTTATTGGTAAATTGTGACCTGTGTTTAATTATGTCACACTAGATACTTAAACATAAAATATTACCCTTATTGTGAATGCAACTTGGTTAGTCCATGCTAGCCTTACCCTAGCTTTGCAGACCAAGAATCAGTAAGATTAGAAATAAATAAATAAATAAATAAATCCCACCGGCAGTCGGCTTAAACACAGCAAGCCCTTCTTTGACCTCGATTCAGCAGGCCAAGACAAAATGTCGCCCTGAATTCCCCGAAGACTGATTGTCATTTATCGTGCAGCCTGACTAATGTCATGCTGCCTGATTAAATGAGCATACCGGGCCCCAGACGACATGGTTGCATATCCAGCACGTCAGAATCGGATGTTTGCCATCACGTAAGCAAGCAATAACAGTAGTTCCACAGGCAAATGTGAGAAACAACCTTTTTTGGACAAACAAGGTCGAAGGATTGCATGTCCCCACTCTATATTGACATCAGTTTACCTTTATTTTATGTATGCGTAAATTGTCAGAAAGCTGTTTAACAAGATGTGATAATTTGAATGGACAGATGGATTGTTAAAGGACGGAACAGATACAGGATGTGAATATGTGAATGGAAAGCCAGTCCAGCTCATGTGACAAGCACTATGGGTGGATAAAAATCATTGCTACTTGTATCTCCGGACCTAAAATGTTACAATGGGTACTTACTTACTCCTTATTAGTGTCATCATCTGAGCTTTTGCGGCATTTCTTTTCATGCCACAAATCATGGGCAGGGTCTCGGATAGGCCCCGTCCGCTTCTCATCTTTGTTCTTTTGTGTTGCTGTTTTCATGTAGGTCTTCAAGCAACGGCTACAACGTGTACTGAGGCCACAAAGAGAGGAAAAGAAGACCAAGCCGCAACCGCAGCCTGCCACTGTTGCGACAGTGGGTCTGGAAGAAATGAAGATCGAGGTCTGGCACATTCTGTAACGCAACAAACTGTGCTTCTTTTCATGTCGCGGCTACTTCCCGTGGCGCTGGGCTTCGACTGAGAAACTACTGTACATGGGAATATTCAGGGGAAATCATATTTTCCCACTTCTCTATTAATGATATGCAGTGTTCTTAATACATCACAGCCATTTGCTCAAAGGCTAGATTTGTTTATTGCACAACTTTATTTGGATGTTTCACAAACGAGTCCAAGAGTCAGTTCTCAGTGCTGTTCACTGCTACTTCAGTGCTGGCAGTGATTAAAATCAGTGCATTCGCCAACAACTTTCGACATATTTAAGTTTCATTTTGTATTTCTATTTTGTCCCAGATCAGGGTGCTGTCATGACATGGGGTTAGGACGGTTGTTCTTTTGTCCTTGTTACCGTTTGTTGTTTTCATTGCTTACGTCACCCTTTCCTGGGTGATTGCTTTTTTTCAGTCATCATCATTATATGAATCGATTCTTAAATTTGTGCAAGGCCTCATCTGGAATATAATTCACTTTGAATGGAAAAAATGAGTCATATTGTTTTGTTTTTCGCGGGTATGAAAATGTCATAATCTTATCTCACAATACAGACCAAAGTTTTGGGGTAATGGGACATGACACGTTGGAAGGAGAACAGCATTCACCATTATGACAAAGTATTTTTGGTGATTTTTTTGCTTTGTACAATTGGGCAGTCATGGTCGAGAGAAAAAGGCCTTCGCCAAAGTGTTCCAGGACGCAAAACATTGTCCAAAGTATTCCTTAATTTCACTGGTCAACAGCAAATTTTTATCAGAGGCAGTTTTACTGGATGTGCCCCATGAGTGTATTTTTGACATTGATTTTATTAATGCCATTACTTTTTTTTCTACCACATCAGCTTTTTGAGACATTTTCATTTTTGGTTTTTAAGTTTGACCTGTAAAAACTTGTGTTGTAATTTATCGCCCTGACATTATTATTGTGATTATTATTATTATTATTATTATTAATATTATTAAAATCGGATGTGCTAGAGAAACAACAAGGAGAGATTCAGTGTCAGTGCAAAAAATATTAATCTAGAAAGGTTTTTATTCCTCTGATTAAAAACTCGAGTAAAGCTTTGTTGATCTGCAACTGAATTTGTAGATTTTCCCTCTTATAGGTAAATTAACACTCTCTACTATTTTAGTGTTTATTGGTTCTGACAATAGACATAAGTCCAGTTAAAAATTGTGTGAAGTAAATACATTTTTGGTCGCCAAGCAAAACATGATTATTTGGTGGAGAAACATCTTCATAACGTAAATAAATAATGCGCAAAGAATTGAACAGTTCGTGCAATTCAGTCGATGTGGCTCCTTTTGGTGTGCACAACCTCGCCGCCACGGGGCATTATAACACAGTCATGCAAACGCAAAAAAAAAAAAAAACAAAGAAGACGTTCACAACTACTGTAAGTGACTTAGTATGCTGTAGTAATAGTAGCTGTCTTTCATTGAGGATACAGTACATAATGTGAGTAGTGTTCTATTGTCTGTCGACATGCGTTGATGCTACTTGCGTTTGTTAGCATTATGCTAAGTGGACTTTTGTAAGACAAAGATAATGTGGTTTGTTTAAAAACACATTTAATTCTCTATATTGTTTAGTTACATAGTAAACTTCAACTGAGAGTAGCATTAAGAGTGAAGCCTCTTTTTTTGAAGAAGAACAAGAAGAAGAATTGTTCAAGTATCCGCCAAACTCCTGCTTGTGTCAAGCACAGTATTACACTCAAACGCACAACACTGTGTTCATGTTTTTATGCATTTTGACTCAGATTCTGTCTATTGCCATAACCAATAAACAACCCCCCAAAGTGGAAAATTTTATTTTTGCAATGTTCTTTCAACACCCAAATTCAGCATGGATGATCGAGTACCATTCAAGTTGTTTTCTGTGCTTTCGACAGGAGCCCAATGCCGTGACGCGGAGTCACCCAGAAGGGGCGTACGCCAACACGATGCTGCCCAATCACCACCATCATCACACGGGACACCACGGGGTGTTTGAGGACTTCACATGCTAGATCCAACCATCGTTTCCCTCGTTTTCTTTGCAGTGACAACCAAGGGAGAGCAAAGCATCTGTTGGTTGCCATTCAAGAGAGACCTTCTGTATTCAGCGCCAGTTCTTTGCTGCCGTCAGTGAAAAGCTCCAGCCAAAGTCCAACACCAAACTTGTGATGCTAACATAGCACTTGTATGTATGTAGGCACAAAATGGACACTCCGTTATATTTGGTTGTTTTGTTTTGTCAAGATGGGACCCCTTTAATGTTGTCTAACTTCAACTGAGAAGTCAGGCACTTGATGTTCAAGTAGGACCAATTTTCGGTACGTGGCTCCTTCACTAAAAAGAAACAGGCGGAGGACTGCATGACCCCTTGACGTCATTTGTACTCCCCCCCAAAAAGACAATATAATTTGTTTGTTGATTCGTTTCTCTTTTAGCCATCTTGATCCTTTTTGTTTCCCGTAAGCTATTGGAGCACTCACTGAACTGCTGCATTAAGACATTGCAACTTTATGAATATATCTAATCATTTAAAGAGATACTTAGATCCATATGTTCTATATTGTATACAAGGTGAACTCTAAAGTAAACGAAGCTCTTTTGTGTGTAATTTCAATTATAAAGGGGTTCTCGGAGTGGAACTGTTTGATTTTTTTTTTTTTTGTTTCTTTTTGTTTTTTGGTTTTTTTTTTGAAGATTGAAGTGGCATCTTTCCACATGATACACATAGTCTGATTTGTGGTAAAGGTGTTAGAGAGTAGCATTGTACATTGTAACATTAACATTGTAAAAACCAATGAGGAGAACATGGGCGAGATTCTGTTTAAATGGCTCCTGTTTATAATGCATTCATAGATATATATAGAAAACTTATGTAATCATTTTGTTATTTATACATTTTAGAGAAATAATTTTATATGCGATCGCGATTGTAGCAATTACTGTACACAGAAAAATCCGCAGATGAAGAAGAATATCAATACATTTGTACAGGTAAGAACAATGACTATGTATTGTGGACATTATTTCCCTACACGCGAGGTCCTGTTTTGTATACGAACATGTACAGTGGAACCTCGAAATTCGATGACCCCCCCCCCAATCAGGTTGTACAATTAGGAATGCAAACTGCCAAAGTCAAACAAAACAGCTATGACAATGGAAGTGGAAGGTGAACGGATTCTAATATAAGAGCAGAACGGATCATTGCTGGCTCACAATAGTCCACAATAATCCCTTAAAAAAAAAAAAAAGTACCGGTACATGTGAAAGTCGCTCAGTTCCAATTTCATGTGAGGAGACCTGCCTCTAAAGCACAAGCAGAAATGTCCTTTTTATATTTGCAAGGCAGATGAACATAAAATTTTGCATCCATCAATATGTCATCAGGGATAATTTATCCCCATTGTCTTTTTTTTTTTTTTTTTTTTTTACATTATTTGTGTGGCATTGAAATCGTAAAATGTTCCATAACGAACTTGAGTTTTTTATCTGATATTTGAAGTGTGTTCAATCTTTAGAGGTTCCACTGTACATTCTAATCGGACCTGTCTCCAAAAAGTCAGGCGGATTTCAAGGAATGAACAGATACACAGAGCGTAGTTTCCAACTTTACGTTTAAATGATTCATGAGAAAAAGATGATTGAAGATCAGCAACTTTTCTTGCAGCAGCACCAACGAGTAAGATTTTTATTTGAGTTTTTTTCAATCTGATCAATTTAGGTGTGGAGCACCAGAGACAATCATTGTTAGCTGACTTCAGAGAGACCTCTGCACTGCTCAATATCAGATTTTTTTTATTTAGTACTGGAAGCTTGTTATAAATGTTGCTACTTCAGTTCATTTGAGTACTGCACACTTAAGAGATCAATTCTGTAATATCATTTATTGGAGGTCATTTGAGTACAGCACACTCTCAATAAATAACTTATTCAGATCTCATTTTTCGAAGTCAGAGTAAAGTCACCTGATATTTTACCGTGTATGAACAATTTGGGTAGCTGTTTGTCACAAGCGTCCTAACTGTAATGTACACTTTCCTACAAAAAAAAATAAAATAAAAATCACAAACGTCCACGGCACAGCCAAACTCGGATTTCTGATCAGTAATAGCAGTCAGGTTTAACATTTTGGATTGTTGGCTCTCAACATTTTCCACGCAGATGAAGTCGAGCAGGGAAAAAAAAAACAAAAAACATCTACCACACAATCGCTGATTTTCCTGAGACTTCCAAGCATTGGGCCTGTGCCGACTTTTATCGAACAGAAATGCTCAAGTCTGGCCCAAGTGTCAGGATATGGATACCGTATTTTCCGCACTATAAGGCGCACCTAAAAACCTTCCATTTCCTTAAAAGTTCACAGCGCCTTAACATCCGATGCGCCTTGTGTATGGTCATTACGGTAATATTGCGACCCCCAAAATGGCTCCTTGTTCGAGACATGCTGACAACGCAGAGTTCAAATTTAAGGCGATCGGTTACGCATTTGAACACGGAAATAGAGCAGCGGCAAGCGAGTTCAACGTTAACGAGTCAATGTTATAACTTGCTGTTGGTTAAGTGAACTGTGTCGCTGCTTTATTAAATAAGTTTTACTGACATCTGATCGTTCTGTTGGCGTTTCCTTGAGCGTAGCTCCATCTAGTGGATGCATTGTAGATTGTGTCTTACAATGTATAAAAAATTACAAAATAGGCCATTCATTGAAGGTGGGCCTCATAATCCAGTGCGCCTTTTAGTGTGGAAAATAAGGTACCCTGGCAAGAGTCATAAAACTCATTTAATGTACAGTAGATTGATGCAAATGTTTCTTTTTTTTGAGAGGTCACAATGATAAGACTGATGTAGATTGAGCCTCAAAATGGAATTTAGCGATTCAAACTAATGTGTAATCAGTTTGCTTCGGAGATCTGTGCATCACTGGGATGTTAATTGGGGTTAATAGAGATTTTTTATATTTTCTTACTCCTTTGCCCTTATCGTTGGACTTGACTGGACTTTATATAAAAAGCACTGCGATCTTTTTTTATTTTTTTTTGCGGGGGGGGGGGGGGTAATATTAATCTCTTTTTTCACATTCAATGAAACTCAGAAGTGTTCCATATCTACAGTACTATGTGAGGTAATACAACTTAAAGTGAAGAGAACATATTGCGTCCCATTTATAAGGTTTGTATATGTGGGCTAAAATATAAAAGGGTGTATAAATAAATATCAATCATACACAAACAAAGTATTGGGGCCACGCTGAGGAATACAAAACACAATTGGAGTGCACAGGACAGCATTTGAAGCCCGTTCCAGCGAACGGACTACATCCTGGATTGGTCGTCAGTCCTTCCTATGCAGGAGGGCAAGTTGGGTGACATGTTTCCAAACTAACTTCATAACAAGCATTAACAAACATGACATTTCTGCCTGGGCTGTGGATTGAGCAACAATAACGACAACATGTTTTTTTCCAATAATTTGCTCCACGCATTAGGCCGTTGTAACTTGGATATTCACTACGAGCTACCACACCCCGCCATCTGTCAGCTCCCCTATTCCTGTCAAGTGATCATGGGCTGTATATGACTGTTTAATATTCATAATCATGTGTCACTTTGACATTTTCAAAAGGTTTCCAATTGCACTCTCTGATGGCATCCCACACGAGGCCCTGCATAACAATCCTTTCCTCTGTCATCAATAATAGTGACCGCTCTCAGACAAGTCGCACAGGGGCCTGCCGAGTCGACAGGAAGACAGGACTTTTTTGGGGGGGGGGGTTACTTGAATGGTAATCAAGGAGCATTTGATTTGTTGTCTTCTTCACGCCATCCACGTCGGAGGCCCATTTGGTATATAACCTGCATGGCTCACACGGTTTTGATTGAAAAAAACTGTTTCCAAATACACATACACATATTTACACAAGAGCTGCTGTCACGTGTGCATGTAAGCTGCCGAGTGGGGTGCTGCCAGGCACAATGTCAGGCCTCAGGCTTGCACCGTAGCCGACAGGACAGCATGTGGCCTGCATTCTTGGGATTCCCCAATATCCTTTAGGAGTCTACTTTCTGGGCAATTGTTCATCACAGGATAGCATTTAGCGCGTGTTGATGACACATTAGCTCCACAAAAAAAAAATAAATAAAAAAAAAATCACTTTAGTTCAAATCAGACAAAAAACGGAATATGTGACATTTCCAAGAGGTCATTTGATTCTATGATTAGACATCATTTAAATGATTTATTTAATGTCAAAACGGAAATGACATTTTATTTCCGTTTGGATTGTTGTTGTTTGGAATCATATCACAGGTAGAAAGACCACCCTATATAAATGGACCATGGACTCTCTAAGAAAAAGTATTTGTGGCCCTTTAAGATTTGTATATCAGTAACCTTGATTTCGAGTCTAACATGTATGTTTTTTTTCTGCGAGAGAAAGTCTCCCATAGAAAAAAAAACCCACACGGTGTGAACATACAAACCGAGCCAAGACTGGAACCCGGCACATGGGAACTGTGAGGCAGACGTTCTGCCGGTGGGTGTCTTTGTGTATGCGTGACTTTCAGTTTATTGAGTTTCACTTGGAAAGCGTAACGAGATAGCATTAAGGACGTAATGAATGGCCGCCAGCCGAAATGCATTTGAAAGGTTAGACTACATAAAGGTGGTGTTTCATGTCGAAATCATTTGCTTATTTCCTGATGATTTTTTTTGACTGAATGTCAAACCATGTGACTTTTAATATAACCTCAACACGAACCCAAAACTGTCAGGGTAAAACTAAATCGGTTCCTCAATGATTTGAAGAAAATATGCCTCCTGCGTGGGAGGAGAAAGTGCATAAAACCAAGTACAAAATGATAGCTTACAATTAAGTCCCAGCTGCTCTGTAATTATGTGGTTTTACGACATACCTCGGGGGAGTACATATGGACCCTTGACATAACTAAAACTGTAATTACGTTTGCAGTATTTCCCCTTGTTTTTACCCAAACCAGACAAAAAGTGCGTCTGACATGGGCAGAAACGCTAATGGTCAAGAACATGTCAAGAACCCGAATAAAAGGAAATGTGCTTCAAATGTTCCAATATGCATATTGCTCACAATTGGCACCTAGTACCGGTTGCAAATGGTAATGCGTTCTTCTGCTGACACCTAAAGGACAAACTCGATTTTACCATTCAAAACAAAGGTGTTTTCATCTTTTAAAATGACCAGAAATATGAACTTTGACCTCATAATAAAACATTTTATTTAATTTAAGAAAAAACAACAACTTGCATTTCACATTTGATTGGTAATTACAGCACACATTGAAAAAAAAATGTTGAGCATCAACTAACATCCTGCTTCACCTGCTTTGGTTAGATTGGTACCAGTATAAATCAAACACATAGATGCAAAAAAAAAAAAAAAAAGTACTTACTGTACATAGTCTGACACATGACGTGACCAAAAAACAAAACATTACTGAAACGGTCATCAAGTCATTAAGGCCAAACACCAAAATAAGCAAATACATAACAAACAACAGCAAGGTTGTGTTCATTATCAGATAACATGAAGTGATGTGTGGAATTAAAAAAGACAAAAAAAAAGTCTTTAGAAAGTACCTCGAAAATTAGTGCGTTATTACAAAACAGTCTACAGCATCGTTTCAACGTTGTTCTACTTTGTCGGCTTTGGTGAACACATACAGATCACAACTCATTTTGTTGTAGTCAAAATTCACAGTGGTTTTTGGAACGTGAACAATTATTGGTTCATTTTGTCATCATGCTCTTCATAGGAAAACATTCAGCAGAGCATTGTCTTGGTAAAAAGAAGAAAAAAAAAAATCAGGCAGTAAAGCGACCACCGCAAGACAGTCACCGCTTGGTCTGTGATTTGTAATCGTTAAAACATAAATACAGCAAAACAGTTTTGCAATAAACACGGTGCTTTCAACATACACTCTCAGTTCAACCAATGTGTAGGATTGATCGTAGAATGCGATGTTCATCATGATGATTTCATGAAAACATTCGAACCGTGTAAACTACAATTGGGAATCAAGTACATACATTTAGTGTGTTGAAAAATGAATGCCATATTGTTCCTGAAACCAAAATTGGTCATTTCAGCTTTTCATGATGCTAATTTCCCGCTCTGTGCTGCTATTATTATTGAATCATTGCATGAATCAGAGTAAGAAGAGGGGAAAAAAAAGTCTGTGCTTATACTCCTAGCCCTTGGCCTTCTTGGAGGCAGTTCCTACCTAAAAAGCCCTCTTTAATTCTCCTCGGCCAATCTCCAAAAGCATGCGGAGGGGCAGCATCTTCAGACATCCTTCCACAAATACATCCCATCATTGCGTTTGGAGCAATCTTGAAAACTTGCCAAACATGGATTATTTTCAACCCCTTGTACCATAAAATGAACAAACACTTGACCGTAAACCCCACCCCACCCCTCCCCCCTGAAAAAAGTACCATATGGTATTGTCAAGTAAATGCCAATGTACTCCATGTGGTCGCTCAACAGTGGCGTTAGCAGCAATATTGCACTTCTTAAGTATCCTATATTAAAAAAAAAAAAAAAAAAATTAAAACCACATCTTACGACTATTGCTACCATTCTAATAGAGTTGCAGTAAAACTGATCTATTAAAGCTTTGCACTTGCAAATGGAACAAAAAAAAAGAAGAGGAAAACAAGAGGACAATAATACGGAATTTCAATGAATAGTGGGATTAAAAGTGGAATCATGAAAGCCTTGGCAAGGCCAAATGTGAGCTCTCACAAATCACACAAACTACCGTCATGTGACAAACATTGTTCCCATGAAGAATTTCCACCACCTCCTTTCAAAGTAAACCAGACTTTGTGCAGAAACTCGAAGGAAAGGATCATCATTGTTCTGTTTTCCTGCAAAAATTCATTGTTTTTCCAGGCTTTCTGTCAGTCCATCTTTAGTAACATAGTGAAGAATTCAACGGACTCATGCCTCCATTTGCCAAAGACCGACAGGAAATACTCCAGTGCGTGGTTTGAGGCACATAACACAACTTGTGGAAAGGCGCTTGCTGCCAAACGGGCCTCGAAAAGCAGTATGCGATGCAACATCTCTACTCCGCTTTGTCAAACATTGGCTAAGTTTGGCATTTCAAACCAAAACACTGACAAAAAGCACAGCGCAAGTTCAGCACCTGAATTGCGAAACTATTGCGTAACATCAATGCGACTTTTAAAAAAAAACAACCTTCTGATGGAAAAATCAGTTTCAAGGCACAATTACAGCAATTTTGTTTGAATACACTCATATCTGTGACATTGTAGATGTTGATGCATAGTTACAGATAATCCATATCAATATTAAATGGATTATGGTCAATATCATTGATCATGCAAAGGACCACATTTGACTCAATGTACAAGTTTTTTTGTCACTAAGGGTTGAGGGAACACTGAGAGAAAACCAGAGCGGAACTCCTGAAGGTGCTCTTCTGTCACAGTGCAAACCACTTTTCAATATTTTATTTGGTTTAACTCTCTAAACCTCTCGAAATCTCTCCAAAGCAACCGCGCTCTGTCCATCACAAACAATTGCAGACTGGCCCCTAGTGCAAAATGAGAGGAATAGCACACGTAACAGCACAAAACCAAGATCCAAGATCAAGATCCTGATCAATATTGAAAACTACAGGTGCAGAGAAAGACGTGTGTGGAGCTGACAGGGCACGCGCCAACACCAGATCACAAAAAAAAAAAAAAATGGTTGGACTATCGGCACAACAACACCCTGCTTCCGTAACATAGTGGTCAAAATACTGCTAATTGCAAATGACAATGGTAGGAACGTCCTTTGGTTCCAGCTACTTGCCTACCTCACACTGAGCAACGCGCACAAACGCCACTGAACTGTCACGCAATGCGTCGGGTTGGTGAAATTAGTGTCCATGAGTGGCCGGCAGTGGGCAACTCATTTTGCCGCAAAGTTTTTATGGCAGGTGAAGGGCGTCGCAAACTCCGTGTTGTATCACTTGATATCTCACAACAAAAATCAAGTTCACGGGTACAACGTGAGATTCAGCCAGCTATTGCCAAGTCGCATAATTGAAGTTTATCCATTGGTTTAAACAAAACTGTCAACTATATTGTAGTTACAGATGTACCTGTGACTAAAAAGCAAAGGGTGGAGAGTATCTGTCACTGAAATTCAGTGAATGGTATCATTGCTTACAGCCTCCGAAACATCCACTTTCGCTTTTATTCTCGCCATTTCCTCTCCTAAGCAAGTTGGGATGTGTGCATCAGCAGGGTGTGCGGCTAGGAGTGGCTGATACGATTTGTTGGCAACTGTCAGGTTCAGCCGCATTCCGCTGCGTTGCTCAGTGTGCCTTAAAGTGTTGTAAACATTATTATTATTATTATTATTGTTTGTTTGTTTGTTTGTTTTTTTACAATACTATTGCATTCATTTTATCGAGCTGGTTCCACGGCCCGAAAACGGACAACAATGTATGTGAAGTTCAGCGTCGCCATTCTATTCAAATTTTTTAGTCCAAACATCCATTTGAAGGAACTCAGCTCTTTTGTGTCACATGCAGGCGTGGAGGGTTGGCCCTTTGCGCTCAAGTGCTATTTCCTTGCTCTTGTTCAAACAGCAGCATTGCCAGTTGGGAGGGAGAGCCGACACCTTCCAAGTTGCTCTGAACACACCTGTGGTAGATATCCTCACTGAGCCGCGGGTTGCAGTTTTGGTAGCGGTAGTTTTGGTGTAATGCCGGCTCTACTGCCCTGAATACATGCAGCCCGGAGTACTTTACGAATATGTCATAAATGTCTAGGGTCTCTAGTATATCCTCGTTCTCTTGGACATCCGCGACCATTTTGGTGCGCGTTGCCATGTAGTCCGCATTGTAAAAACAGGCTTCGTCGAATGACCAGCGGTCAAAATGTCCCGATTCCTTGAGCAGGTCGACCGTGGCCGGACGTGGTTGGCTGTGATAGGCCACGTCGGGGTTGTATTCCTGGAAATGGATGGGGAAGAACACTTGCCAGTTGTTGATGGAATTCATGCGGCAGCGGTTCACAAACTCCAAATTGATGTTGGTGTTGACGGTAGCTAGGAGGAACAGCGTGTCAACCGGATGCTTCTTGGAGATGATGTCCATGAATTTGATCTGCGATGGGGTGTCTGTCTTGACGCTTATCCAAGGGATTTTCACTGTCGGGTATTTGTGCTCGTAGAGGTTTATTTGAGTCTTAACGTTGGCAAATATATCATTCTGGTTAACTTGCTGCGCTTCCACTGGATCGTAAATGAACAGAAAGGTCAGGATGATGTTTTCACTGGTTTCAAAGGCATTGGAGGCAAAGACTTTGAGGAAATGCTCAACATAATCCCGCTCCAACGCGGTCATCGGTATAATGGCATGAACCCTCGTACCCTCTGTGACATAGGGCATGGGAATTATCTCCACCTGGCTCAGAGGTCGAACCAGATGAACACGCTTGGCAATAGAATGACTGTGACCTTTTTGGCTGACCGCCTCGAGCTGTAAATCCAAGGTGTACTCCATGCCCCTGGTCGGGTCGAAGCGCCTGTAGCCGTTAATCAGGCGCTGCTTCTTCATGTGCAAAATGGGTTGGTACTTCTTGTTCAGCTCTTCAACAGCGACGTCAATGACATCGGCCACGTCCAGGAGGTCGATGCCATGCAGATCGCATTTAGGGGAACCGTCGATGCAGGAATAAATCTCCTCTTCTGTAAAGTATTCCCATTTTATAACCTCGTGGCGAGACTTTGGTTCGAAAGGTGGGTTGATTCCTATCGGCCACTGAGCACTTCGGTTGCCCTCGAAGGCATCCGCGCTGACGTTTTTTATTTCTTCCTGCGGAACGACAGGTAGAATCATCGTACAACCGACGTGACAGCGCCAGGGCGGCTTCTTGAGCACAAGTTTCTGAATCGAGCTCGGAGAGAACAGGTGATTTGTGACACTTGAAAATCAGCTTACCTGGAGCTTAGCAATCTCATCGTAAGTCTTCTGCAGTTCAATCTCAGTGAAGTGTCTGTGCAGCCGGTACATCTCTTCAGGGTCAGACACCGGATGGACAGTCAGAGCTCTTCGAAACTGCTCACTCTGCTCTTTGTTTGGATCAAAGTTTTTGCCCAACTGATAATGGTGGTAGTGGAGACCCTGAGGCAGAAGGAAGAAAGACTAGAATTCAAAGTGGCAGAAACAGCTGTTAAATATGAATGAAATCTTGGTTTTGTTTTGTACTTCAAATCATTAAATTAGGAAACAGGACAGAGTAAGAAGTATGAATTTGGAAGTTAAAGGGGGTCACGATTACGTCAATAAAACAACAACCGAAGATGATGTCATTTAAGATGTAAACAAAGTAACCACCTAAGGAGCCTGAGTGATTAAAAAAGTGTATCCAATTTATCTGGCTATTAAAAGGGCCAAGAATCAAGACTGCCTAAGAGAGCAGGGAGGTCTCTCCTTGTCTTGCCGGTAAATAAAAATGGATGTTTTCTTCCCACATCCCGATTTTGTGCAAGCCTCTTTTGAGCGTTCCAATTGTTTTTATTTCCATCAAATTTGGTTTGTTTTGGCTCAGTGTACAATTTTTTTTGAAACAAAGGATAGGAATATTTATATTCTGTCCATTAGTCATCGTTCCCGCACAGCTATGGAAGAAAAGAATATGGGTTAGACCACGGGGAACCACGCCTGACAGTACTTCAGGTTTTCCAAATCTTCCAGGATGATTGATGAAAAAGAAAACCCCAAACTAGCTGAGGTCAGAATGGAATAGGTATGATGCCATGTCGCTTCCACATCCGTGGCACCATTTAACTCATCCGACTTCAAGTACGTCTGAACTTTTAACACCAGTGATGTTATAGTGACATAGTGTGAACTGCAGGAGATTTACGGTGTGCTCTGTTTCGCTCTCCAATACAGCGGACAGAGTTAAAAAACAAACAAAAGAGTATTAGCAACCCACTCTGTAATATACCGTAAATGCAAGCATGGTTATTATAGTTTAATTTGGCTGTCTTTCACTTTTAAGTACATACTCACAGATCAAAGTCATGACTTTTTGGAACCCTCGAGTAAACCCTGACACAGCTGTTTCCATTGACCATCTCCCATAATTTTTCCTTCAGGTCTTTGTGCTCATTTAAACTCTAAACTGTCTCTTTCTCCCACACTTAACATTTCACATTGTGAAGCATATTGGAGAAGCTCTCAGAATGATTTTGTGATTTTGCCTTCAAGGAACACCACAGGGTGTGTTAAATAAGCCGATTAGGAAGTGATTCAAATGTACTGTTTCAGTCTTCACCAAAATATGTAATTTAACGTTGGGGAATTTCACCTTGTGAAAAGGTAAGCTCGAAAACAAAAAAAGGTCTGAAAATAGCTACAACGAATGACTACAAAAGCCTCCTTTCTTTTCTAAACAAAACCGCTTCAAAGCTTTAACAGAGGTCAAGAAAAACATGGCGTGGATAGATCTATCATTGTCAAAATCTACGATTGAAAAGATGAAATCCGGTGCTAACATTCACGGGAAAGACGGATTTGACCTAAAACCAGAAAACATAAAAATAGCCTTCGGTGTTCACGAGTCAGATTTATTTCAGGCAGATGAAACCAAAGTCAACGATCCGTGTTAAGAGACGGGTAGGGAGAAGAATAGGGAGAGTTCATGATCCAAATGAGACCACATTGTGTGTCAAACATGGTGGTGGCAGTGTTACACAATCACATCATGTGAGGTGTAGGGAAAGTCACTCTTTGCTTAACTTCCTCCAAATACAAGACAAAGTGGCAAGAGCCGCAAACAAGCAGCATTTGAAAGGTCTACACTTTTAACTCTTCTTGTCCAATGTGTTGATGTTAAAAGACCAAACACTTAAAAAAAAAACAAAAACCCTCAGTTACATACCTGAAAGTCGCTGACACAGTTATTAGCCGTGTAGTCGATGATGCACCTCCCGAGCCACTCGTCAGGCCTGGCGCTGAGGATGTCGTTCCTACAATTTTCGAGGAAGGGCTGGAGCCGAAGCAGCAAGGTTCGAGACAGCAGGTACCCAAACCCTCCGTAACAGTAGCTCCCTTCCATCTCCCCGCCTATGAACTCCTCTGGACAGCCCATGTAAACTTCTTGATTCATACTCAGGTGATCCACAAGATCTTTGATCCTGTCGGCTTCTGTGTAGACGTCATCTTGGACAAAGTAAAACCAGTCATACTCGTTGATATAATGCTCGAAAATGTACTTCATCGTCTGAAACATGTTCCAGATCAGTCTCTCATCTCCGTGTGAGACGACAATCATGCCGTGGGGGGGTTTGCGGTTGTGCGTGCCAGTGAAGAAGACGACAGAGTCCAGATGATGGCTGATGGTGCGATTGACGGCCACACCCAATGTGTTAATGGTGTTTTTGGACGTCAGGACTCCAACAAACAGACGCTCGCGAATCCCCAATTCTGTACTGATATATTTGGCCCTGAAAAAGACACCAAAACAACAAGTTCAAATATCGCAGCTCAGCTGTTTTCTTTATTGGGCCGCGGGATGTTCGCAATGTGTCGCCCAAAGACACTTTGATGTCAATTTGAGTCAACAGCAGAGGGCAGTATAATGCCAAAATTGCTGCTTCCCTGAGGTTACAATACATACAATGCATCTTTCACAACAGCTGCAGCTGAACCAAAGCACATTACAGAACAGCTACATCAAATAAAATACGGTCATATCAAACAACATGAGACATGGACAATCATGCAACCGTAACCAATATTCCTGCATACGCCTTGCAGCTGAAACCTGATTAATTAATCTTCTTAATTCTTATTCCACCACCAAAATATTAATCATAATAGCGTGTTTAATCTTGTGGGGGGCACTTACTTCAGAACATAATGCAAAAGAATTTTTTTTAACTGGGCTTCAGCTTTAAACTATTACGTCTAAGGTCTTATGGTACCATCCAATCCATGATCCAAGCTGCTTTTGGTTGTCTCAAGTAAGTGACATGACTTTTCAAAAGAACAACCAAGTGCAACAGCTGCTAAAGTAGCATGTTTATTTTGAAACCTGTGATTAAAGATGATTAAGCTACACATGGTAACAGACAGTAATATTTTCAGATGAATCATTGACTTATTCATTCATAAATTCCTTGAAACATAAATTACATTCAAAGACAAATCTATTTTTACGTGATGGGACAAGCGGAAAGTCACAACAACAGTCTGATGCTATGAAAATAAAAACTCTTTTAGCAAAGGAAACTTTACTGTACCACAACTCAACAAAACTCACCTCTGTTAGACGGCATTTTCTTTTTCTTAAATTAAAACTTACGGGTTCAATATTTAAGTCGCTTGGGGAGTGAGGACTAATATTTAAACAGGGACTGAGTCCAGGAAAATGTGGACATATTTGAATATGTCAGCGCAGCATGAGTACCGCATGTACTTTAAGAGTTTCCTCACTGGAACGGGTGACTGTTGTGTAGGAACTAAACGTTAGTAGTGTAGGCGGGTGGTGGTGCAGATTTTAAAATTTTATTTGTAAGACACTGTGTTTATGGGATGATGAAGTAACTTGGATAATTTGTTTTTTGGAAAATGAAAGGCAGATATGAGAAAATAGAAACTCAATTAAATTGGCAATAAATTATCCAACCATGTTGTTGATTGGAACTGTCTTCAATCGGGTTGCGAATGAGCCGAGCCTACTGCAGCTGTCTTTGGGCGTGGGGCGGGATAGACAATGTATCCTTTGTAATTCTTTACTAGGATGGTAGATGTAAGAACGAAGAAAAGGAACAGACTTTTCTTTGGCAAAAATGCTATGGTGAAGGTGAAAGGTGAAGCGGAGCATACCTGAACGTATCTCAGTAAAGCCCATAGCGAATGTTTGCTCACGGCCGAATGTTTATTTTTTTCGTCATGGTTCCTTCAAAGGTCGTGAAGACCTTCGCCAGATGCGCCACAGCTTTAACAGTTGCAAACATGTTTTCTTGTCGCCAGGAAACTTTTAATACTGTATGTTCAGAATTTCACTGCAACAAAAACTCTTTGCGACCGTTAAAACTGTTGGCAAACGTTTTTGCGTCCTTGAACGAACCCTGACGAAAAAAGGACATTCACAGCAGGCACGCACATTGTCAAACCAAACAATACATTGATTTGCGGTTAAGTTCTGTGAGTTATGTTTTCATTTTTCTTCCAGCGCTTTTCATGTTTTGTTTTTCTTTGAACACATTGTTTTGTGTGCAATAGATACATGATTCATTTTGTGTATTATTATATAAGTATATTGAATAAGAAACAAAAAAAAGACATTCTGTTTTTCCAATTACAAAAGGTTCTGTGAATTCTCATATTAAACTTATGTGATTCAGCCCCTCCAAAAAAAGGTTAAGAACCACTGATTTACTGCCTCCAATGAACTCAATATGCACACAGAGAACATGTCACCACCACAAAAAGGGACCCAAGCCAAGATTCAAACCCAGGACGTCTCAACAATGAGGCAGAAGTGCAAACCGCAATTTCACTGTACTATCGGACAAACAACAATTGTTCTGACAACCAAAATCGACTGTACAGTATTTGATTTGGGGTGGGTGAAGTATGTGGCCAATAATGGCCCATCGTGTGGTTTAGTCCGACCCACAGCATTTACATGATTAAAAGGCCTGCAATATTTGTTGCATTGATTGAGCATTTTATTTATTTATTTTTTTCTAAAATGTGTTAAAACATATATTAATCATGTATTTCATAAAATTATGAATCAATTGATATGACATAAATAAATGCTACTAGTAAAATGAACAATTTTACGTATACAGTCAAACCTCGGTTTTCGTCCATAATCCGTTCCAGAAGGCTGTTCGAAAACCGAAATTGTTCGAAAACCGAAATCACGCTCTTTTTAAAATAAAAATGTTTACTGAACACGTCTGCTCACAATGGAAAGCAACACGAGGAAGCGTCACTTCCTCGTCTACCCGAGGAAGCGTCACTTCCTCGTGTAAGGAAGGCGAGAGGAGTCAAATGGTGCATTCAAGTGCGTTCAGTTTGTTCGAGAACCGAAATTTGTTCGTCATCCGAGGCATAAAAAACTCAAAATTTTTGGTCAAAACCGAATTGGTCGAGAACCGAGACGTTCGAAAACCGAAGTTTGACTGTACATTTAAGAGTTGTAAAAATAATTATATTAAAGACTTGGTTGGTTAATTATAAATAATATAATTTTAAAACGCCCTGCAATTAGTTGGCAATCAGGAGAGGTTGGATAGATGGATGTTCTTCTATCTATGCCAGTGATTTATAATGACAGACAGAACAAGTCTTCTATAAGATGGCAGAAAGTATTATATATAATTGACATGCATCCACTTTTTGTGACATTTTTGTTTGACAGTGTGCCATGACATTTTTCAAACTTAAGTATGTGCCTCAGCTCAATAAAGGTTGTGAATCACTAAACTTGACTTTCCATGAATGTTATCGGCTGAATCGGATCGGCAGATATTTGCATTTTATGCAGTGATCGTTTGTACTGTCATAGGATGGTGATCAATCAACGTCAGTGATCGGACATTACAGCAAACACACTCGTTGACTCAGGTGACGCTCTGTGCTGCCATTGTTAATAATCCAAGGTTTTTTTTTCGACATTTTTTGACAATATTGTGGGGGGGGGGGTTATCTGTCACCCCTCTATTTTCCCAATTAATGAATGTTAATCAGCATTTCGGGGAGGATGTTTAAGGTTTAATTGTTATTATGCCCCCCCCCAACCCCCCATGCATTTCAATGGCTGTTCATTATAAGCGAAATTTAGCTATTGGTGGTCCGGGACGGTTCCGATCGCCTGCAAAAAGCCAACTGTACTGTTAAAAAGAAAAAAAAATGTTGGTTAAAAAGATTGAATAGATTGGTCCATTTTCTAATTGGATTGGTGATCGGTTATTGATTTTCTTCAACTAGCTGATCGGTGATGGGCTCCAAAATCCTGATCGTGTAAAGTTTACTAATGTAAAGATAAAGTATACAGTAAAATATAAGTGTATACAGTTTAAAGTGCAGGAAAACAATGAAAACAGAAGATGTGTTCAAAATACAGATATAAACATAAAGAGACAAATAAAGTTTGTCCAGCCATATTAATCTTACGTACGGTTATCTCCCTAAAGTGGCCGTGAGTGTATTTATACCTTAGTGAATAGTGTAGTAGTAGGTGTTTATAACTTAGTTCATGGTGTAGTAGTAGAACAGACTTGTGTGCTGCTGTACAACATAAATATTGCAATCCCAATACGCACCTGAAAACTTTCTTAGCGGTACTCGGCTCAACTTGTTTATAGGGCAATATTCGTGGCTCGAAATCCGCTTCAAATTCTGCGTCGTGGACGACTGAAATGGAATTGGGTTTTCGGGCTCCTTTGGGCTGTTCATCACGGCCCACAGGAGCACCCTGGTCCGCATAACACGCTTCCTCTGTCCAGTTTACACTGAGTAAACTCAAGGTGAATCCTAAAGAAATGCCGATTATCACCGGGCCCATCGACCGCAGGGCAGAAACAAGGGCTGGGAATCTCATGTCGGCGCGTCGGCTGCTCTACCGGAGCGTCCCGGTGAGTTGTTAAGGAACCTCCAGGTTGGTGTACGTTGTAGAGACGCTACAGGTCAACTGCATCAATTCTGAGGCGTTTCTTCATCCAACTTCTTGGAAAGAAACTTCTTCCGTTTGAAAAATTGCGTGAGTCTCTTACGTGTCAGGACCGCTGCTTACATAGCTCCGCCCCTTCTGACGTGGGTGACAAACCCGGAGGCAGCCAGGCAAGGCGGGTCTAGTTCCTGTTAGTGGACGTGCGCGCAAAACTACGCGGAGGAATATTTATTTAGGTCACCCACATTGTGCCATGTGATGACCACATACAATCCCGTCATGAATGGTCACCACGGTTGGCATGGTTCGTTATAATCTACACTTTTTGATCAAGAGCCAAATTTTTAAAAGGGACACGAGGTCAGGTCATTCGTAGGTCAAAGGGGATGTGCAGGAGAAAGAGGCAATCTTTTTTTTAAATTGTATGATCGTTATTATATTAAAGAAATATTTTACCCAATTAACAATAAATCAATTTACCAAATCTGACTAGCTGGACTGTGGCACAGTGGTCGACTGGTTCGCACGTCTGTCTGACAGCGCAGGGGTTGTGGGTTCAATTCCTGCCCTGGCCTTCCGATGTTGAATTTGCATGTTCTCCCCATCCCTGCGTGGGTTTTCTCAGGGTACCGCAGTTTTTCCTCCAACATTCAAAACAAACATGCAAGGGATACGGTGTCATCGCTGTTTCCCTTGGAGTAGTGTTATGACTGTCAAACCTTGTAACGAAGTCAAGAATAATGGTTTATTCATCTATTGTTTAAGTGACCATAATGCGGGGTTTGGTAACAAAAAATGCTTACGATGTCTGTTATTTATTACATAGAAGAATTTGAAATTTTGCAAGATTTTAGCAAGTTGTTTCATTTGCTTTCGCAGACCATATGAAATGATTTGGCGGACCAGATCTGGCCCCCATACCTTGAATTTGACATCCGTGCTCCAAATTGTCCAGATAGATGTGATGGTGAGTGTGAATGTTTGTTTGCCTTTGTGTGTGCCCTGCGATTGGCTGGCAACTACTTCAAGGTGTACCCTGCCTACTGCCCGAAGTCAGATGGGTTCGGCTCCAACACACCTCATGAGGATTAAGATAATGGATGGATGATGATCTCCCATTAAATCCAAATAGTTCCCCAAAACAATAATGTATTATAGAAATGGCGATTTCTTGTTATATATATATATATATATATTTTTTTAATTGTTGCAGAAGTAAACATGTGACAATTTATATTGAAGCGTTTACTGCCTTGCTAAGTCATTGTTGATAATTATTAAGAGAAATCATTTGGGTTTCACATCAAAAAATGAATATTAGACAATAGATCAATATTTAAACTTTTATTTCTAGTCACTTATTCATATTAAGATGGTAAATTGTACCCTTAATGGATTTAAAACTGGAAATTGATTTGACCAGTCTAAAACCTTTATCTCTTGCCCCTGATGTAGGATCCGCCAATTAGAGAGCAAGTGACGAGAGATGAACAATTTCGCATAAATTCATCTTTATTTCTAGAACACTTAAAAACCACAGCAGTAACAAAGAGTTGTACACAAAATAAGAGAATAATCATAAAATAATAAATGAAATATATTTTTCTTATTATTAGATACACATGCATTGGCCTTTTAGAGGCCCATTTTTTCTGATCAGGATTTTATGAATAAATTATAAGATGGCAGTTTTTGTTTGAATAATTTTTCATGTGGCGATAACTAAGGCCGATGTCGACAAAAGCTTAACGTAGAAAAAAAATAAACATGAAACAAACATAGGAATGAGATGGAGTACAGTGGAAGACTATGAAGACCAAACAGAACAGACTCAAAAACGTCAATAACTTCTCCTGGAAGCCTTGCATGCTGGCTCAAATTTGGGTATAATTCACTTAAGTTTGAAATTCTTCATTCCTCTTTTGGAATGGTTAAACATCACATGAAAGCACTTCAAAATGCTGAATGGTTCTTCTTACTTTTATAACAGTTGCTGTAATATATTTTATAATTCGTGTATGTATGAGATAAAGGTTTTAGACTGGTCAAGTCAATTTCCAGTTTTAAATCCATTAAGGATATGTATGTATGTATTCTAATTGGAGATTTACGTGCGTCTCTTTGAACATTGAATAAAACAATTCCAGTCAATCACGTGAAAAAGTCTTGAGCCGCCATCTGGTGGTCACACGCATAAAAGACACGGGTTTTGTCAGATTGTGGAAACACGCTTAAAGGCCAGTTAAAGTGAGAGACGGGAAACTAAAGGTTGTTTTGACCTGTGTGTAAAATGACATAAAATGACATTTCAAGATACTGGTACTGTACATGTAAGAATGATGACGTTTTAAACCTTTCGTTGGTTGCCCTTTCGATTAGTATACAGTAATCAGTAATCTAACTTGTAATCACAGTAGTAATGACCTCATGGTTTAGTTTGTCTTGTTGGAATTGCCGTACCACATGGGCTGCAATAAGAGTCTGGGCTGCCATATCCGGGTACTTTGGTGTGTGCGGAAGTAGAATTGCAATTCGATACAGTACTGTAATTCGCTCCTCGGTCCGCCTAGAGATGACGTCTAACGAACCCAAGAGAAAGCAAGTTGGGAGATAGCCTATGAGTTGAATAAGCAAAGGTCGGTGGGGGTGGTTATGTTCGTTGCCCTTCCCAGCTGACGACTGGACGGGCTCCATGCTAACTTTCAGCGCGCCCAGAGCTGTGCGGAGTTTTAATGTTGCTCTTGCACTTGTTTTATTTTCTGATTGCGTTTCGAGTTTTTAATCCCAATTTTGCTCATGGCGGCGATGGAATGTCGCGTGTTGTCCATTCAGAGTCATGTTGTCCGAGGATATGTTGGAAATAAGTCTGCAACATTCCCTCTGCAGGTATACAATATACGACACTAACAATTCCTAGATAGTATACCTATATTGCATTATCGTTATGTAATATGTGCCATGTCGTGTTCCTGTCTTACCTTGCTAAAAGATAAAATATATTAACATTACCAATGAATGAAAACTAGAAACCGTTCGCTTGTAGAGACGAGATGTGTTTGATGTGACTAAACGCCGTGAGTAGTTGTAACACTTGCTCTGCGTGTGGACAGTTACAATTTTGTTCACTCCAAATAGTCGATTAGAACGTATTCGTAAAGATTTTATTCGATCTCAATCCTCTTTAAAATGTTTTATACATGTAGATATACCAAGTCAACATGCTGTATTTCAAACCCACTTCCAATGAAGTTGGGATGTTGTGTTAAACATAAATAAAAACAGAATACAATGATTTTCAAATCACTTTAAACCTATATGCAATTACATATTCTGCAAAGACAAGCTTTTTAATGTTCAAACTGATAAACGCTATTCTTTTTAGCAAATAATTTTACAAATTTATGGCGGCGACATGTTCCAAAAAAGCTGTGACAGGATCATGCTTACCACTATATTACATCACTTTAACAACATTCGATAAACATTTAGGAACTGAGGACACTAATTGTTGAAGCTTTGCTTGATGTACAGCTTCAGCTGTTCAACAGTCCAGGGTCTCCGTTGTCCTTTTTCACGCTCCATGATGCAACACACATTTTCAATGCCAACAGGTCAGGACTGTAGGCAGGCCAGTCTAGTATCCGCACTCTTTTACTACGAAGCCACACAACGCCAGTTTAGTGGGTTCGTACTAGGGTATAATGGCCCCATGTAATTTAATCCTATCCAATATGAGGGCTAGTCTGCACAATAAATTTTGTTGTTGCTTTATATAGTTTAGTATTAGGACAAAAAAAGGTCAATTAACTCCAATTCTTTTTCTCTCTCTTTCTTTTTGTTAAACTTTTCTCAGGTTCTGGGCTTTGAAGTGGACTCCATCAATTCTGTGCAGTTCTCCAATCACACAGGTTGGCTCATGCTTTTACAGAGGCCTCGCTTGAGTGAATTCGGGGTGGAATTATTTTCTTTTTAGTATTTTGCAATCCTTTTGTTTGTGGTTTAGGTTTCAAAACATGTTCGGAATGACCGTGTTAAGTTTGCTTTCAGCACCTTTTCTCCCTCAAGTGTCCAAAAAAATGGTTGACCGATGTAACATTTTAACCTGGTGACTTTGGTGTATAGATAAAAGTCTTATGTAGTGTATACATAGTTACTGGCTTTTGTACTTTGCCTCCCTTGAAAAAGAAAATAAATAAATAAATGATAGTGTTGACCACTGGTCAATTTGAGTAGATGTTCAACACAGATGATTACTGTCTCGCAACCATTATAAGATGCAGTGCTCCAATATGGTAAATGAGGCTTTTAGTACTTGGTTATGTGAGGTTTTCCACTTAAGAGTATAATATACTTGAACACATGATGCACTACTCTACGAGCCGTTAATAATCCACGGCTAAGAAGGACTTCTTCCAGTTTTTATGGTCCACTGGCTTGTAACAAGGACAACAGTGTCATTTATATGGAGTCCCTGGATTCTTTTGCACAGAAGGTCCAAACTTCTTTTCGAAGGAAGGAAACACTAGCAGATACATTCGATTCGTGTTTAACAACTATAAGGGCAGCCTGGGGGGAATAAAAAGCTCTACTTCTTTTTTAAATAAAAATAATTTATTTGTTTTCTTTTGCGAGGATGGTTTCATTTCAACTTACACAACAGTGATACTATAAATACCACTAAGATGCAGTGGGGAGGAGGGCGGCATGGTGGGGCCAGTGGTTCGTCACAGCTGCTTTACAGTTCTAAGATTTGGGGTTCGAATCTTGGCACTGGTCTTCCTGAGTGCAGTTTGTCTGTTCTTGCAGCGCTTGCTTGAGATTTCTCCAGGTATTCCGGCTTCTTCCTGCAATTCAAAAACACGCATGTTAGGTTCACTGAAGACTAAATTGTCATTAGGTGTGAATGTGAGCTTGTCTTCATGTGTCCTATGATTAGGATGTAGTCTGCCCTTCATCAACATTCAGCTTGGATAACCTTGAATTCACCTGCAGCTCTAATGAGAATAAATCAGGGTCCCAAGGTTGCTCATGAGATAATTATAATTAGAACTGGCTTTTATACACCAAAGCATAGAAAGAATTTGAATTCACACATGATTGGTGATGTTTGCACAGCAGCCTCTTAG